TATCTTCCAACAGCTGCCAACAATCCTCCACATTCCTTGAACCTGCCTCTGCTGTCACATGACTCTCCAGCTCTGTGTTGTCTGTACTTGTGTCTCTTCTCATAAGATCATCAGTCATGTTGGGTCAAGGGCTCACCCTACTCTCACCCTGGATGAGTCTGACCTCATCTTAAATTAATAAGTTACAACAACCCCATTTCCAAGTAAAGTCACATTCTAAGACTCTGAAAAGCACATAATTTTGAGGGAATATTTTCCAACCCAGTACACTTAGTTGGTCCTGGGAAACAAGGCACATAGTTGTGATTAAATATTCATCCCAGGGCCATGAAATAGGAGATTTCATATAACCAACCCATGCACTCTGGCCCTGTTTGATCTTTCTCCCAACCTTCCACCTTCTGGCAGCTCCAGGCATTCCTCAGCTTGTGGCTGCCTCCCTCCAGTCTCTTAGTGCATCTCCATGTTGGAATAGGTGGTCAGTGAGATGTGAGAAAGAAAAGGAACATAAAATCTGGTCAACTGGCCAGAACACCCCTCAAAGAGACAGACCCGAGGAGAAGAAAAGGGCCATAAATTTCCCAGTGTTGTATAATCACATCACAATTGTAATAAGTTAGCATTGTGGTATTGACCTCCCCTTGGGCGAAAAATGGAAGCTATAAGTAAGAGTGGAGTAAACACTGACCAACCAACCTTCTTTGAATTCAACAAATAAAAACAGCAACCACTCAGGCTTCTGCAGTTGCTGTTTTCAAGCCTGCCCCCTCCTTTCTAGGGAGTGCACTTTGTTGGGTGATGTTTCTCGAGGGAAGAGAGGGACGGCTTGGCCATGGGTGCAAGCTCGCTCCTAGTGTAGCAGGAAACCAACACAGACAGAAGACTCCAGACACGAGTTGATTAGAGGAAGCGGGTTTATTCCAGCCAGGGGGTAACTCGGAACACCAGTGTGTCTCCAAAACTGAGCCCCCCAACTCAATCTCTTGCCTCTCTTTTATCCACTTTTCAGGGTGGAAGTACATGTGAGGGTCATAAAACAGAGAGACATGACATCATCCTCAAGGTCCCAGGCTCAAGGGGGAAGGTCAGATTTGCCCGCATCCTAGAGACCAGTCGGACTACCCGCCCTCAAAGGTGAGGGAAGTCCTGGGAAGCCCTGCGTATGTCAAGGAAGAAACATACAGATAACAGAATTGCCTGCGGCTTGGCTGAGGCCTACACAGGGCGGCTAGGACAGATTCTTTTAGTTCTGCTTTTACTTTCTTGCCTCACTAGAATTGTATGAAAGCAAGAAACAACTACACAGTCTTAGATGGCATGTAGCAAAATGTCTTTATTTTCCATTCCCTTTTATTGAGAGCTAGTCACGTACACCACATTGATCAATAATCCTAACATCCTCTATTCTTATCTTAAATTATAGAAAAGAAAGAAAGTCCGGGAAAGTGAGATAACCATTTTAAGATTAGCCTAAAGAAAGAAAGTCCGAGAAAGTAAGACAACCCTGTTAAGACTAGCCTCAGGCTATTCCTCTCTGAAAACCTAAAAGAACTATACATTATCTGACTTCCATTGTTAAAGTTAAAGGTCAGGATAAACAGGGGAATAAACCATTTTCTTCTATGTACTCAATTAAATTTCTGAGAAACGGGCTCCATGACTGTTTTCTTATGGTTTGGAGGCTTCCACTGTTACAATAGAGTATTTTACTCACATCATTATGATGGAGTTTTTCTTCTCACTCACACCAACCTTTGAGTCATGTCCTCTGCACAGACGGGTCATTTCAACCCTCACCTGGCAGGCTGACTTGACTGCACAGTCGGGGTTCCATGTAGGAGGTTGTTCAGCCTTGCCTGCAGGCCCCCCCCCCACCATGCTTTTGTTATGCCCGAAAATTATTCTCCCAAATAGCCCCAACAGATGAATCCGAGACACTCTGCTGTAAAAAAAGAAAAGGTGAGTTTTATTCAGACCTGGGTCTGGTCTCTCCTGGCATGCAAGCCGAGGAAGAGCCTTGAACCCAGGGTGGAGTTTTTATGGGGTACAGAAAGCAAGAGGGGTAGGGTCGGGTACGAGTACACTTTTCATTGATGGTTGGTGATTTCATTAGTAAAGAAGGATTTGGATTGGTACAGGTGAGGGGTGGGGGAAGGCAGCAGGGAGTGGCTCTGCAGGTTTTACTGGCAGAGGTTGGGGCGGAAGGGCTAGGTTATGCAGTAAACAGCTAGGAATGGGGCTTGTGTAGTAAACAGCTAGGAGTGAGGCCTATGTAGTAAACAGCTAGGAGTGGGGCTTATGTAGTAAACAGCAAGATGGAGCTAATCTGGCCCTCTCACTTTCCCAGGTCACTTAGGCCTCAACAATAACACATAATACTCATGAGTCTTTTCACTCAGTTTCTGGAATTAAAAGAGCACATTTCATTTAATTTTTGTGGGAGTTTACCCCACAGCACTTTCCCTTCTGCACAAGCCTTTCCTAAGCCTGTCTACTGTCACTCAATAAACTCACCACAATGGCTCAGTTGTGTGCACTTCTACAATTCTCTTCTGTGATATGACGAAGAACCTTTATGTTGGCTGGGTCTGGTGGCTCACGCCTGCAATCCTAGCACTCTAGGAGGCCAAGATGGGAGAATTGATTGACATTAGGAGTTCGAGACCAGCCTGAGCAAGAGCAAGACCCTTTCTCTACTAAAAAGCAAGACCCTTTCTCTACTAAAAACAGAAAAAATTAGCCCGGTGTGGTGGTGGGCATCTGTAATCCCTCCTACTGAGGAGGCTGAGGCAGGAGGATCATTTGAGTCCAGGAGTCTGAGATTCCAGGAAGCTATGATCACACTGCTGCACTGTAGTGCGATTGACAAAGCTAAAGCAAACTTTGTCTAAAGCAAACAAGCCTTTCCTAAGCCTGTCCACTATCACTCAGTAAACTTGCCACTATAGCTGGGTCATGTGAGCATCCTGAAATTCCCTTCTTCAATGTTAGCAAGAACATTTATGCCAGTGATATCTGCGTGGCCTTGCTCTCCATGTCTCTCCTCTGTGTGGCTCTTATAAGAAAATCTGTCGTTGTATTTAGAGCCCACATACATTTTTTTCCAAATAAGTTCATGTTTCCAGGTTCTGGGTATTAGAGCAAGAGCAAATCTCTTGGAGGGGCACCATTCAACCCACTGCAGCCCCCAAAGCCTGTGCCATCAAGGACAAACAAACACTTCAAGGAATAGCAAGTGTTAAGTAAATACAAATAAACGAAGAGAAAGGGAAGGAATAGGAAGTATTAGAGCATGGAGTTGTATTTTGGAGTAATGGGAATGATTGAAACTAAATAGAGATAGGGATCACATAACATTTTCAATGTGCTAGATGCTATTGTCACTGTTTACTGCAAAATGGTTGATCTTCTATAATGTGAGTTTCACCTCAGTAAAAAAATAACTCAGGCTGGGCACTGTGGCTCAAGTGGCTAAGGCACCAGCCACATACACCTAAGGTCACAGGTTCGAATCCAACCTGGGCCTGCCAAACAACAATGATGGCTGCAACCAAAAAATAGCTGGGCACTGTGGCGGGCACCTGTGGTCCCAGCTACTTGGG